ATAATTTTTGATGAGAATTTGTCAAACGGACGGTCATTTATTTTTGTTTTTTTTTGGCATGTTATGTGTGATATTTTGAAATAAAAGGGCAGCAAGCCCCAGAATCTTATTTTGCTACTTTCCTGTTTGTGTCAGGATACTTCTTGCCAAATTTCATACTTGTAGGACTATTTATGCCATCGTAGTGCCATAGTATTTGCATTTACACCATTTCGCCAGGAATATGTCCCACAAAAGGGGTCTTGGGTCCCCTGAGACCAAACGGCCCTAAGTTGGGGTGCTTGTTATCAATTTGTGATTGCCCAAGGTACAGGCTAACAGGAAATAATATCAAAAATGTGTCAGAAAACATCATGACTCCCAGCCTATATATGCTAATTCCAAAATGTCAAAGTATTCCTTTAAATTTCTGCCTGCATGTTTCACGTCTTTCTCCTTTCAAGTATCATTTGTATTCCTCCTACAGTGACTGGTACATCGACATGATGGATATAAATATTTTTGTCTGTTTGGTTTAAAGCTGATCTATCTCCCTCACCCTCAGGAAAAGCCATAATTTTTCCATCCCTCCCACTCTAACTTCCTGTCTTCCTCTGTCTCGGGATTGAATATATGTGCCAGTAAGGTGTTCTGCATAATATGTGTGTGAGTTAAAGTGTCAAGTGTTGACCCGCGTGTCAGTGTATGCTTGTGTGAGTCTGCCTTATGTCAAATCTGCGCCGAACCCCCCGCAGCAAGGCGATGTGAAAAAAGACACAACCATCACAGATCAAATTGCATTTTCTAACTCTGTAAGCCACATTTGGCCCACTGTTGGAGGGTTTCTGCAGCCGTTTGATACCGGAAAGATTTAGAGCACAGCTGGAATGAAAATACTGCAGGCAGGGATCAGGATTGAGAAGACAGATCTTCTCAGCTGTGACACAGGGTTGATTGCTGGTGGGTAGAGAGTTATTTGTTACTGCATTAAGGGTTATAGGGATAAAGACGGGTGGGTAAAGCTACTCTATCATTTATCCATTAGCCCCACTGCATTTTTACTTATTGTTTGACCTCTAAAAATCTGTTAATAGCTTCAAATGTAGATGTATTTTTCACAGAAACCAGGGATATTTCAAAATGGAGAAACAATCGATGTTTTATAATCAAAGTATCAGAACCAGTAGATGATAAAGGCAACTGTTAAGTGAACTCTGTAGAAGTTCTTCCCCAATTAAGGAGAAGGGGACACAACCAATGCTTGTTACTTGGATCGCTTAGAGATTTTCAACCAGAAGTGCTTTGACTAGCTGCACAAAAAAGTCACAGCGCTCTGGAAAAGGATGCTGGGTGCGGTACACACATGCTTTCTCGTCATTGGGAACAATTTTAAAAAGAGGCTGGCAAGCAGAATAGAAAATGCTGTGCAGACACAGGCTCTAAGTTTGCCACACTGAATGACTCCAGCAAATGTTTTTGCTAAGTTTGCTTGATTTAGGGTATTGTCAAATCTGCGGTGCGATTTGTTTGGGTAAATCTTAACACAGTATTTGTACTTAGGTGAACCAAGACGCTGTAGAGGAAGTGGTCTTGGTCTGGTCACAAATCCTTGAGCAGCTTGTTTGCGGTGGGAAAGTGACCTGACCTCGTTCTGACCCAACTGCAAGGCCGACTCTAATCATCCTCCGAAGCCAAATGTGCCTTGCATTCTGGGATGTGGTCAAATGAAATCAACAGTTTCTAGCAGATGGAGAAAAGGCATCAAATTTACCGATGAACTATAGGTTTTAAAACATCCTCATTTCCTGTGTTGCTTGAGTGAGTTGGTGGCGACTCTGCGTTCGACGAATACAAAGTTCTCAGTGTTCACAAACCAAACAGTGATAGAATTTGCAAAAGAAACCGAGCAGCGAAACCAGGTTTGAAGCCACTAACAGGTGTAAAGTTTGAGTAAGCCCTTATGGGTGCTGAATTTTAGAGGTTTGCAAACAGTGTTTTATGTGTGTTTACCTTCCACCACAACTCTGGCTGCATGTTTCAAGTGTTTATTTCCTTGTGCTCATACAGAATATCCAATTGAGACTCAAGGACTTGAGATCATTTGTAATGTTAGAGCTCTTTTAGTTCAGTTTCTTTATCTAATCACAGCCGTGCGATTACAGACTGCAGGATCTCTGATGTCCCCCTGGCACTTCAGCCACGGCTGCAGGTGTTTGTTTTAAAGACTGGTGTAAAAGTGTCTCTGGCAGCCTCTGCGTCTATCACTTCTCTCTCCCATGCTCTTTCTCTCTCCACTCGTAACCCCTAGGGACATACATCTGCATCTGTTGTGGCTCAAGCTGTTTTAAGACCATGGCTAACTTGACAGGGGCAGGAGAAGAGGACAGGACATAGATTGGATGGAACAGAAAATGCAGAAAGGACAAACAGATAACCAGCTGTACCCTGAAAGTCTCTGCAGTTGGGCCCACGTGGGACATTTCAGTTTCTAAAATTAGAGTTATGTCATCATCTATGGACAAGGGATGTCAGTATCAGTTAGTTTTGCTTTCGACAGGCTGTCACCAAGTAACCAGTAACTAACTGGTAAATCTTTATAAAAAATTGCAAAATGACTTGTAATTCGAGAGGCCTTTCCTTTTAGTCCAGCGCTCCATTGACACCGTGAGCTTTAGCACCACATGTCAAAGCTTTATCAACTTAAAGGTGGTGAAATTATGTTTTGAGATGTTAATGTCTTGCCTTTTATTTTATTTTATTGTATGTTGGTTTAACTGACAGCTAGCTGCTTAATATGTGGAAACATAGGGCCCACTGCCCACCCTCCGGTGTCTACCAGTTAGCTCACATAAGCCTTAGCCGCTCTGCACTGCGCACCATCTGGGTCAAGTGGGAGCTAGCTAACAGTGCCACTCATTCAGAGATGACTACTGGTAGCATTGTGTTGCTAGCAGGAGGTTGCCACCCTCCAGTCTCCCCCCCAGGTCACCCCAAAGAATAAGCAGCTTCATTTTGAGCCGCAAAACCCCATTACCACATTTATGTTAGCACCACCAGCCATGCTGACACTGCTAGCAGTGCTAACAGAGCTAACAGTGATAACAGGATACAAAGCTAAAGGGATTTGTCGCTCAAATCGAGCCACTTAACTGGGGGCTGGGCACAATGTTTCCAAAGCAAAGCTGTCGGGTCGGGACAGCGTTACTAGCACCGCTCGCTAGCTCCCACTAGACCCAGTTTGTGCTCAGTGCAGCAGACTAAACCAGTGGTTGCCAACTGGTCCAGCCACGAGGTCCAGATTTCTCCGTAGTCATTAGTTTGAGGTCCACACAGTTTGCTATATTGAGCGTCATACTTGGGTTTGGCTATGTTGTCGAGCTAGTTTGCTGTATCTGTTGAGTAGCTGTCTGTTAGTCACTCACTGCACTTCAAAAGAAAAGCTCTGTGCCGGAAATTGACTGTTCTTCAAAATGAAGTGTTTTTTACAAACTTGACACATTTGTGAGTCACTTGCGGTCCATTCAAAGTGGACCTGTGACCCAGTTTTGGACCCTGACCCATCAGTTGGGAACCACCGAACTAAACACAGTAGCAAAATTGACCTAAAGACTGACGTAACCTGTCAAGAATATCACAGTTAAGTGTTGACATCCCTGCTCTGGCCCCAATAAGTGCACTGCTGTGCACAAACTTGGTCAGAACATTATAGGACCCCTGTATGCCAAAAAAAAACAACTCAAGCCATACAGGGAGGAAGGAAAGGAAATGTTTATGGAGGTTCTTCTCCTCTCTTCTCTCATCTGTCCTCCCTTTCTCTTCTCTCGATCACAAACAGCTGCTCAGTGATGGCACCCGCCTGCTAATGTCTATTTTTGGAGTTGGTTCTAATAATAGTTCTATTAGAGTGATGTCAAAAGTCTGTTCAGATGGCACAGGCTTGATCCAGTGTGTAGGGCAGGCTATTAAACCTTTGGTCAGCAAGTTTAGCTTAAGGTCTCCCTTCTGTTGTCAAGTTAAGAATAAGAACACAGGCTTGTATTTCCCCAAGGAGGGTACTCAAAAAAAGTATAATTTTGGCACTGTTGGTATTATCAGAAAAATTTAAACAATTCTTAGTTCCAATCTAGCGTTGAAGTAGCAGACTAAACAAAAGGTGGAGGATAATATGCATGTGTGAGTGCCGTGTGCTCTTGTGGTGATAAGACCGATGACAGACTCAGGCTGACCCAGACCTCACAGTCATTATCTCTGTCCAGGCCTGACCGCTAATATGGCCCAGCACCCTGTCAACACATCAAGGAAAAACATGCCTCCCTTTCTTAAACACATGCGAACACGCCAACTCCTACACACTGCGGAGGTTTTCATCAGCTCTGTCTAAGGCATAACTTCGGATGAACGCTACTGGTCGTGATTCACTCTCACTTAGAGCTTGTCTAATTACCTGACAATGACAGGGCGCAGGAGCACCTATGATAGAGCAGCGCTGCATGAGGCAGGTGGTAGTGTTTTAGCAAAATGATAAAGAGTGCATCAAATCATAGAGCGCATAATGACACACAGATGCTCAAACAAACTCTGCTGTGTTATTTTGTTGTGGGTACATCCTCAGTCATTTAGCACATCGGCTTCTAATCTAATCTAGTCATTCTTGGTGTTTACTGAAAAGACAATATGTCACGGAGAGGGTCTTAAACCTGTGACTCTGAGGTCATAGTCTTGTAGTATCACAAGTATGTGTATTGTCCATTTTATATAGATTTCCATTTTAAAACACAGCGCTTTTATAAGTATAATGTGTTGAACTTAATGACTGTCTCTTCACTGATTGCGGAGGGGAGGAAGAACAAGTCCTAATAGCCATCAATTAAATATCACATTAGTGGTACAAAGTGCAATCAGAATGTTCACATGGATAAAACAGAGAAGACCTCAGGGACAAATCAAATTCACCAGGGATGTATGTTACAATGCCACAAGCACCTTATCTTTGTCCCCACGCCTCTCAGTTAGCTTCTGTAATGAAGTTAGCCTTATCAAAGAGACCCATTCAGCGAGTAAAGTGCTGACCTCAGTGAACTCCTGTTGTGGGATGGAGCAAGGCAAATCTTCTGTTCTTACCTGACTCCCATCTCGTCCACTCGATGCTCTGCGGACATCTCTGACAATATTTTGAGGCTTTTGGTTTATCTCTATTAAAAAAAAAAATGTTGAATTTCCATTTATTGTTGTTTTTGAAATCTGTTTTTAAAGTTTAGGTACACTCTTAACCAACACCGTGAGGCAAAAACAAAAGTTAACAGATTACTTCAGAACACTGGACTCCCCCTCACCTGACGCTGAAGCTGCTTATAAGTGTGTTTTTTAGAAACTTGACACGTTCGTAAGTCACTTGTGGTCCATTCAGAATGGACCCATGACCCACTTTTGGACCATGACCCACTATTTGGGAACCACTAATCTGAAGACTTTCAATAGGTTAATCAATAGTAAAAATCAACCTCCTTAGTTGATTTTCTATCTTGTGTTAATCGTCCTTACTTTCTTTTTTTTTATTTCATTTGTCTCAATATACGTCCTTGCTTTCCCCACAACTTTCTTGCTGTAACCTACCCTGGGAATCAGACGAATCCTTGAGCTCATGGTTCATTTGCTCTTGCAGATGTGTCTGGTTCCCCTCCCGTTCAGTTTCCACCGGGCCAAATCCTCGGCAGGCCAACAAAAACTTTTTTCCTAATATGGAGCAGTTTTGATACATTGATTGACAGAGCAGTGTCACCAGTATCTGCTTCATCCAGTGCACCAGGCTCACAAAACTTCAGTCAAACTGACTAAGCAGCGCTGATCAAATATGAGTTAAGATTCTGTTACTGCATTGCCTATTCGTGCCTCAGATGTTTTAAGAAACATATTTTAGTGTACTGTTTAGCTGTAATTTGAGAGTTTGTGACCTGGCCGCAGTTTTTTTCCTGCGTCACATGTTTAATTGCTGTCACTGGTTGTATGTCTACCCTGTTGCATCCAGAGGTATTTTAGAAATCGAAAATTAACTGAGAGGTTCCAGACTAATTCACAAATGGCCTGAGCACCACGCTGTTCGAGGAGCCTATTGAAATCCAAGGGATTTTTCTTCTTCTTCTTCCTTCAAATGAATTGCTGTTCTGGGGGGCTTAACATACTCCAAAACGCACAAAATTTGGCAGACAAATCAGAACCGATGAAAAATGATATTTTTTGGGTTTCATGCTCAGGTGCAAAAAAATGGCTCAGTAGCACCCCCTACAAAATTTCTGCAAAGAAGCCCCCAAAGTCGGTTTCATCTACACGCACGAAACTTGGTAGGCACATGCAACACTCAAAGATGTACAAAAAAGTCTCTTGGAGCCATGTTTTAAACCCAACAGGAAGTCAGCCATTTTGAATTATATGTTTAATATTTGTTTATTTTGTAGTTTGTGTGGAATTTCACACCCACAATCCAATACCAACTAATACCAGGGCCACTGTCAGAGACACTGTTCGTCATTAAAAGCAACTAATATGTAGAGGAGAGCAATGTGTCATTTATGAGTTGATTAACCGGCTTCCTCTGAGTAAATCTACTGCCAAATGAGTGTATAACAATAGCCATTTTTGGATCATTTTCTGTTAACTACTTGTGTTGGATATCTAAACTGACGAGGGGATTGCTGCGTTCATGCGTGCACACAGCAGCAGAGGAGCAGAGTGTTCATGGGCGCAGAACGTGATCTAACTTTAGATGGTCCTGATGTTTTCACATGCTCTATAGAGAGACCGTCAGCAGAAAAACTTTTTAATCGAATCAGAACAATCCCTTCACACATCGGAGAATGGAATGAACCTTGCTCCATCTTATTGTCCCTTTCTATCACTCTAGCAGTCGCTCATGATTGAAAGCCTAATCACAAGCCTTTTGATGTATTCATCCATGCGGGAGACTGAGAGAGAAAGAATGCCGACAGCCAACATTCATCTCAACTGTAATAACTGTCACACGTTAACAAAGACAACTGTATACTGCGTGGAAAGGTTAAATAGAGACCCAGTAGTATGTTGGGATGGATGATTAAGAAAAAACTGGGCTACTTTTAGGGAGTCGTAGTTAATCTTTCACCGAAACGCCATCCATTCCTCAGCTCCCAGTGGACTGTAAGTGCTGATTTTATTAACTGCTGCGAACGACCAGTTGTTCCCGTCTGCTAAAGATAGCGCCATTGTTTAGATCAGCCGTGACATATGTTGGAACATGCTTGTTGAATGTTGCTGCCTTTATTTCTGTCACGATTGTGTCTAGACAGGTCCCACCACTATCTGTCCTCCCTCTGTTCCATATCAGCGACAACAAATGACAATCTCTCGTCATTTGACGACCTCAGCAGCTCTTTGGCCCAATCAGGACTCAGCATCCCATTACCTCACGACTCTGATATGAAGGAGTGAGTTTAGGCAGGCAGCGTGGTTTGATGATTCAGCGTTGGTCACATCCTTGTTGACCCAGTGGAACATCAGATAATGATGAGGCAGTGCTGACTTCGACAGTGTGCCCTCCTCTCCCACGTCCAGCCGATAAAGACGTGGAAATACAAACATTAGAGCTATCTGAGGGCGGCATTCAGTGAGGCAGCTCCAGTCTGGTGGGGTCAGAGGTCAGATCGAGTTATGGACAGTTAACTTTGAAAATACATATATATTATGTTTAAGGTTTATGGCTTGTATAGCTGGGAGTTTTACTGAATCTAAAACTGCTGATTTTCACATGGTAATACCTAGACTTTTTTTAAAGGAAGCACAGGAAGTCCACAGTACACAAGGTCATTTAGTAAAAACACAGCTCAGGAATTTTTTCCAGTAATAGAAAGTTATGGAAAAAAGAGGAAAAAGCCCAAATGAGGTGATGACTATGCACCAGAATCCAACAGTGTAGTAAATTAAGTTTTGTTAAACTGCAGAGAGTTTTTGCTGCAAATTTCATTTTAAATGTCTTTTGATGTTCTATGTCATTTTTTAAATCTAGTTTTACACAGTTTTTATGTATTTTTTAAATTAATTATTAAAATCATTTAGTCCATTGGAATCAGACAAATCCATACAAAGGAGGGGTGGGTGATATGTCAATTGTTCTCAATGTATCTCAGCTTGTTCCACTCAGGATTTATAAAATGACTGTATATTGAACATCGAGTGTCAGCTGTTGCCTCTCACAGACACTAAAAGAAAAAAAAAAAGTCACAAACATGCAATCCACTGCCCATCCAGACCACTCTCCTATGGGCAATAGTGTGTGAGAGGCAGTGTGTGTTTCTGTATCTGCAGGGCTCCAGACTGCAACTATTTAGTCCCATTTTGTGACCATGGAGCACCAGTGTGACTCGCAAATATTATTAACTAAAGAGTTAATTTAGTTAATTTGTTTCCCACGCACAATAAATAAATCCTCACATTTAACGGCGCTGAGCTATCAGTTTAACTCTCCGCTAACTGCTAACATCCAAGTGTTGAACGGAAGCTTCAAGTTCACAACAAAACATCAACTCTTTGGTCCGAGACAAGCCAGTCCTTTCAAAATAAAAGCAACAGTCGTTACGCTTTGATTTATTTTATTATAACAATACTTATACAAATATAGGTTATACAGAATTTATTATAAGAGTACTTTATCTAACTTTATTATGACAGTACTTTATTAAACTTTTTTATAACAGTACTTGATTTAATTTTATTGTAACAGTACTGTATTTAACTTTGTTATAACAGTACTTTTTTTAAAAGTTATAACAGTACTGTATTTAACTTTGTTATAACAGTACTTTTTTTAAAAGTTATAACAGTACTGTATTTAACTTTGTTATAACAGTACTTTTTTTTAAACGTTGTTGTAACAGTACTTGATTCAACTTAGTTGTAACAGTGAAATAATAATAATAATGATAATACATTTTATTTATACAGCGCTTTTACAGCTCTCAAAGACGCTTTACATTTAAAACCAAAGAAAAGAAATGCATACATGTAAGTGCAAAGACATAAACAGAAGACAAGGATAATATAAAAAAACAAGGTGCAAAAGCATAGTGCAAAACAAAGAAAAGGAGGGCACATGAGGAACCGAGAACCGAGTGCTTTGTTTAACTCAATTGTAACAGTAATTTATGTAGTAGTTTGTATTTTAATAGTCTACAGGAGTTTAGAGAAGATTTCTAAATATTGAAATATATATATCATGTATCGCAATATAGCCCAAAATTATACAATCAATTTCATTTACAGGCCAGATCGCCCAGCCCTTATACAAACTGATAAGATCAGTACAGGCAAACAGAAGTGCCAGATGTTTAGGTTTGATTCACTGATGATAAAACTCTAGGCAAGAATGGATGTGTATATGTATGAAGTGATTATCATGCTCAGCACCTCCGCTCTGTGCATATTTCAAACTGAGGTTGTGGATTTTATCAGTATTGACGACATCAGTGGGAGTCTTGTGTGTGTGGGGTCTGAGGCGGCGGGGAGCTCCACAACTGAGTGATTTTCTCAATGATTGTTATGACCCCGTGCTGTCAACAGAGCATCTATTCTTGTCTCTGCATCCATGTTAATGACGCCAACTGTGTGCGCGTGCGGTGTGTGAGCTGTGTTTAAATAGCCAAAACAGCTGGGATTTTGGAGCCTTACTGATGGTTGTGGTGAAGTGAGAGTGATTATGTTCAGAGCCCGTGCTGTGGCATCTGCATGTGTGTGTGTGTGTGTGTGTGTGCATACATTTGCATTTGTGGGTGTCTCACAGCGGAGGGATGTGTGTTATCCATTAAAGTAAATGGGGGAAAAATTCTGAATGTAGGGCAGGGGGCTCGGCGAGGCAGGATGGGGGGTTGAGCTGTTCCACTCTCGCCATTGTGGAATTTACTCTTCTCCAACCACGCTCTGGATGCTTTTAGATTGTGTCACCATCCAGCTATGTCTTGTAGTAGATTGTACCTGTATTGTATTAAAGAACACATGCCTCTTTAGCAGGCAGATCTTGTCACGAGAAGCTCCT